CGGCAATCTAAGCTGCAATTGGGTTCCCCGGGAGGGATTGTACGGTGCCGTACTACGAAGGAGCCCGAGTACGARTACGAGTACGACTACCATACGGTACGGTTCGTAGCGCGCCATCAGATCACAAACCTCGATCTTGTTTCCTGTCGACTGTCGACACAATCTTTCATTTCCCTTTACTGTACTGTACTGTATCCAGGCGACGCTTGGTAAGTTTCCCGCATGGAAGACAGTGCTCCACTCGGTCTGGCTTTCTTTCCCACACAATTGCGCTAACCCCCRAGGTCTTCGTTTGTCTCTCGTCACGTTCCCCTTTTCTCCGTGCTCGCATCCAGCTTGGATTGAAAGACAGACAGAAAGTTTCCGTCGCAAGCACGCGAAACAAGACACACGACCAGAAAATTGTTGCAGGTGTCTCGTACGAGGAAAGACCCAGCCGGTTTCTCGACCAAAATCACCAGAGTTCGAGTTCGAAATCTTCAATCGACCAACCATGAGCAGAAACCGAAACCGCAGTTCGCCGTCGTCGTCGTCTTCGTCGTCGTCGGTCTCGATCCAGTCCCTTCTGGAGAAGACCGAGCACTACGACAAGGACGAACGCTACATGGCCACGAGCGACCTGTGCGAGCTCCTGAAGCGTTCCAACAACAACAGCCGCGGCGGTTCCGTCGGCACGAGCAGCCACCAGCAGCAACCACCGGCCACGAAGATCTTCGATTCGACCACGGAGCGCCGCATCTGCACGGCCGTGCTGCGGCTGCTGCACGACAAATCCAACGACGTCCAGGCGGTGGCCGTCAAAACCCTGGGCGTCCTGCTCCAGACCGTGCCCCAGGAACTGGTGGTGGAGATTGCCGACTCCCTGGCAGACCGGGTTCTCGATGCCGACAAGTCCGACCTGCGAGACGTCTACGCAATCGGATTGCGAACCCTGATCAAGACCATTCCCCCCCAGATGGGGGACAGAACCAGCGAGCGGCTGTCTGGGCGCCTCTTGGAAGGAATCCGGACCAGCTCCGGCGAGGGCGGCCAGGAACAACACGATGCCAGCGAGGACATCATCCTGTCCTGCCTGGACATTCTCACGGACCTTTTGGAACGATTCGGAGCCACCTCGATCAGCGTCACCCGCAGGCACGAACCCATCCTCCAGATCTGTCTCCGGTTGCTGACGGCCAGCGATGCTTCGGTCGTCGTTCGCAAGCGGGCCGGAAACGCGCTGGGCTGCCTGAGCGTCGTCTTGAGCGATGCCCTCCTGGTAAGCGCGGTGGAGCGCCTGCTGAGCCAGATCGAGGAGTCGGAAAGCAGCAGCAACGAAAACACRCGCGCCCTGATACGGACCACCTGCACCATTTCCAGGTGGGTCGGCGATCGACTGCAACAGCCCCAGATCGATCGAATCATTCCGATATTTTTGAAATTTACCAACCCCGAAAAGGCGTCGACCGGAGACGACGACGACGAGGACAACGGAAGCGATGGAGATGCCCCCATGGACGACGACGATAACTCCCTGGACAGCAGTGCAAACGACGAGGCTCTGGCCATGGCCAATGAACTGAGGGAATCCTGCTTTATGGGATTCGAGTCCTTTGTGCAGAAGTGTCCGTCCCAAGTGGAACCCCACCTGGACAAGATTGTCCAGGCAGCACTGGCGTACATGAGCTACGACCCCAACTACTCGTACGGAGTCGARGAAGACGGAACCGGCATGGACGACGGAGGCGATGGCGAAGACTATGGTGACGACGACTACGGTTACGACGACGATGACGAGTACGGTGAGGAAGAGGACGATTTCTACGACGACGACGAGGACGACGAATCCTGGAAGGTTCGCAGAAGCGCCATTCGGTCGTTGACGGCAGTTGTGGAAACGAAGCAAGACGATCCGGGTTTCTTGTGGTCGCGTCCGTATGTAGTCAGAAAAAAYAAGTCGGTCGACTGTGTGGCGTCGGCACTGGTGGTCCGCTTCAAGGAACGAGAGGAAAACTGCCGCGTGGGCATCCTCGAAACATTCACCAAGCTCTTGGAAGTGACTACCAAAAAAGTGGCGGGCGGTTCCTCCACCGCATCGAACGGTGGCGGCGAGCATTCGTCTGCCACCCTGCGGTTTGTGACTGCCRGAGACGACGAAGAAATGAAGGACGGGGACGATGCTGCCGTTGTGGTTGATTTGCGCAACAACTACGCACCAAAGCTGGTCAAGGCCTGCGAAAAACTCCTGGGCGACAACAAAAAAAGCAAGGGAGTCGGGGAACGCTCCAAGAGCCAGGCCCTTGGTTTGCTGTCGACCTTGTGCAAGGCACCCGGAGGCGTGGGTGGTGAGACCGAGATTATTTCGATCTTTGAGCACGTTCAGTCCATGCTGGGAGGCGCGGAAGGCGACAACGACCACGGAGGCACCCCAAATTCTAGCAAGGCACTCCGTCTGGATGCTCTGAGCCTGGTGGTTGCCATGCTGGAATCCTCGAACCACGATCCGACGTCCGTTCGAAAAGCCCTGTCGKTGGCCCTCCTCCCCCAGCTATGCGCTTCGGTCCAGGAACAGTGGTACAAGGTCATTTCCGAGGCCCTCCGTGCCCTTGCGGCAGTCCCCAAGTTCTTTGCCACTGCCGGGGACGAKGACCCGTCCGGYTTCACGGTTGCAAATCTGCTGTACGGGAGTGTCGAACCGCTCCTGGCAGCCCACGATGTTGACCAGGAAATAAAGGAATGTGCTCTCTTGGCAACCGGGAACCTTCTGAGCGAGCTCGCCGGGGGAGCCGAGGCGAAGAAGCATCAGCTGACGCAGGAGCAGACCAACCGGCTGACCTCTCTCTTGTTGGAAAGACTCAAGAACGAAACGACACGCATTCCCGCAATCAAAACCCTGAGCGTGGTGTCCTCGTCGAATCCCGGCCTGGTGTTCCAAGACGGRATCCTTTCGGAATCCATTCGAACCATGGCAGGGTTTTTGAAACTCGCGGCCCGATCGCTGCRGCAGACGGCACTCGAGGCGCTGGACGTTGTGGTGATCCACCACGGAAAGACCATCGCCGACGAGACGGCTTTGTACGCCGAGCTCCTGAAAGAGCTGGCGGATCTGGTGGTCGATTCGGACCTGCACATAAGTCATTTGGCATTGTAAGTATAATTTTATGGAGCACCGAGAAATGCCGCGACAACACCCGGTCTCGATCATTCACCCTGACAACTTGTTTCGTTGCTGTTTATCCAATTGGTGGATTTTTACAGGCGAGTATCTATTTCGGCTCTCAAGGTTTGCCCCGCCTGTGGCAGCAGCGTCAGAGAAAACTTCCTTCCCAAAGTCTTGGTTCTGTCGACATCTCCACTCCTGCAAGACCTTGCACTGGATTCGCTTCTTGCCAGCCTGGAGCAAGTCGTGGTTTCGAATGCCGTAGAATTCACGGAGCTATTGAGCATGCTTCGCGACCGCTTGGGGCAGGCCTCGAAAAACAAGCACGCCATCTACAACCTGGCGGAATGCATCGCCGTGATTTCGAAGGCAAGTACTCCAGAAAACCTCAAGGCCGTGGTGCTCGAGTGCCTAGAAACCCTAGAAAATTGTCCAAAATCCACGGGCAACGAGGAAATCAATGCCGAACTCAAAAAGGTCCAACTGGCCTTATTGATATCTGGAAACATTGGCCGGATGGTCGATTTGGACTCTGTCGCGGCCGATGTTCCGGGAAAACTCAACGCAATCTATATGAGATACTTCGAATTCTCTTCGGAAGACCTGAAAAATGCTTCGTCCTATGCTCTTGGACAAGCCGCTGTCGGTACTCAATCGGTATTTTTGCCAGCCATTGTCAACTCGCTAGAAGAGACAAACAACAGCGACAAGAAACAATACTTACTTTTGTCGGCCCTCCGTGATTTTATCAAATCGTCGTACCAAGAATCGGGTGGAGAAGGCATTGCCTCTAACCTTYCTGTCATTATGCCTCACCTCGAAACCCACGCCTCGGATGAGAAAGAAGGTGTCCGGTCTATGGTTGCCGAGTGCCTGGGCAGTTTGACATGCATTCAGACGACCGCCATGTCTGAAAAACTCTGCAAGATAGCGGAAGACCATTCGGGCATCGCGGTCTGCGAAAATGGAACCGTGGATCCTGCGGACGACACCTCGAAGAAAAATGCGTTTGTATGTTGCACGGTTGCCATGTCGGTCAAACTCGCGGTCGCTGGAAARGCCGATTCTTCGCAGCTAGCACCATTCGTGCCACGGTTTTTGAAACTTCTCGACCACAAGGAATTGGGGGTTCGAAACGCTACTTTGTTAATGATCTATTCCACCGTTCACCACATGCCGCAGCTCGTTGCGGGCGTCATGAAGGAGCAGATCATGCCTACGTTGTACGAGGTGGCAACGTTTCAGCTGAAGCGAAAAATCGACCTCGGGCCGTTTAGTCACACAGTCGACGATGCCCTGCCTCTCCGAAAGGCAGTCCTTTCTATATTTGTGAGCTGCCTGGAGAACATCCCTCGAAGCTTGGATATCACCGCATTCATGCCAGTCCTTGCCGCAACTTTGAAGGACGTAGAAGACATTCAATTGCAAGCTCACCAAATTGTCATCAATATGTGCGTCCGTCAGCCCACATATGTCGTAGGAGCGGTAGAGACCTTTGCGGAACCACTGGAGAAAACGCTATTCAGAAAGCAGGGGACCAAGACCGGAACGGAGCTGGAACGTCTTATCGAATGGAAAAAATCTTCTCTTCGGGCTATGGTTGCCCTATCCAGAGTCGAGGGAACAATGAACAACCCCAAGTTTGCTGAGTTTGTAGAAAGGACCAAGAACAACGCGAAATTTCAACCGGCCCTCCAAGCCATTGAGGAGGACCTGTAAAGAGAGCGCTTGGACAAGGTAGTATCGGAAAAGAACCATGATTATCTTTCTTTTGGGCCATTGACTTTAGTTCCTACAAAAGGCATGCGTCACGGTACAATTTTTTGTGCCAAATAAACTATAAGCGTCACCCTACTAATGAATCAGAAATTAGAAACGCAGTAGTCTTTTCCGAAGACGCATAATGTGTTCATTTTAAAGTTTAAGATTAGTTCAACGACTGTTGATGATGAACGCTATCGCGTTGTTGCTGCTTCTGCTCACACCAGAGTCGATCCGTTATTCCAGAATTTCCATCCCCACCAGCTCAGTGGCATAGTGTTGTAGCTTTGATTGGGTTTTTTTCCACCTGTGCCACCGGCCTCTTYTCTGTCAGAGCCATCCGCGGTGTAACCGTACAAGACGCGAGCCTCCTTCAAGCGCATGTCCAGGGTTCCCACACCGGTATCCTTGCAAATYCCYGTCGAGGAAAAGGTTTTCAGGTCGAATCGCGGGGCTTCTTGCAATTTCATCATGGAAGATCCATCGTTTGTGTTGCCCTCTCCGTACAAGACYTTGCGGACGTCCTTGGCGCTCGAGAGATTTGGCAGGTGCTCGTAATTGAACAAGAATCGATTCGAGGTATATAGGTCACACGGTTCTACCGTTGGGTGGGTATGGACCCAGTGCTCGGCAGCCCAGCGCCCCCGGCCGATGCAAGCGCGGGTCGATCCGGGGGGGCTGAACCGCCGCATGCGAGCATCAAACTTGGAGGGATGGAAGAGTTTTGCAATGTAGTCACAGCGTGCCGCCCACATGTTTCCCGATGTGTGCGGGTGGGGGAGCGGCGAAAACCGTGTGGAACACACATTGCAGCGTGGGTGCGAAACCTCCATTCCCTTTCGCGCTGAACGACGTGCCAGTCCAACAGCGCAATCCTGGCTCAGGGCCCCAGCCGTCAAAAAGAATCGCAATCGCGTGTTTTCAATTGTGTTGCTGTAAGATCCCTTTGAATGCAGATAAACCACCGACGTTTCGTGGTTTTCTTCTTTTGAGCAATGCTCCCACAATGATTCCAGAGACAAGAGCTCGTTTCCACTTTCGACGTGTCGTAGGTGCACAATTTCGTCGGCTTTAGCTTCGTTCTTACTACCATAGACGAAAGACTCGAGCGTTTTGTCGTCGATTTCTGAGCCAATTGTAGTAATGTAAACTGGGGTATGAATGGTGGGATCCCTCATCGACAATTGCTCCGACATCAAATCCCGTATTCTTGGAATGTCCGTCTCGTTGCCAATGTAGAGATTGTAAAATATTGGAATCTTCGTTTCGCTCTTGTAGTTCGAGGTAATGGTGAAGTTCCTTGGCTCGTTTTTTACGTTTTCGTCGTTCCTATTGGTAGAGAGCGCCACGGGATGATTTCTGAATTGTTGCAAGCTAGCCAATATGCTCATATTATTGCTGTCACCATTGGTCGATACCGAAGGCACAGCCACAAATTGGATCCAAAGGAAGTGGGCAACCATGAACGAAATGAATGCGACGTTAGTCCAATTCTTTCGAACAAAGGGAGGGCAAAGCGAAGCTCGCCGTGAGTAACTTTCCACCATCACTGATGATTACTCTTTTCTCATATCACTGCGGTATTTTCGACTATTGCGTATGGTTACCGATAATTTCGCCCGTCAAAGCAGTTACTGAGTAGCAGACCCTTTGAAATGATAATCGTAACAAACCTACAGGCTCAGAATGTTAGCAATAATCAATGTGATCCATGAAGGTGTCTTGGTTGTATTCGGTACCGGTACGGGGCACAAGGCTCCAACATTTGCCCACTCGTAACAGCTTGCTATGGCAAAAAAGCTGGATGGCAGGATTGAACTACCGACCTTTCGATTACGAATCGAATGCTCTACCACTGAGCTAAACCAGCGAAGATATGGAGATTGCCGGAATCGAACCGGCGACCTTGTGCATGCTAAGCACACGCGCTACCAACTGCGCCAAACCCCCAAACTGACCCGTGAGAGACTTGAACTCCCGACCTTCGGGTCTGGAATCCGAAGCTCTACCAACTGAGCTAACGAGTCGATGTATCGACAGGCCTAGAAAAGCCATTCGTATACGCACGGTTGTACACAACGCACTTGTCACGTTCAAACGACGTACCGTACGTGCCCTCTTAAAAGATAACATTGTGAATACGACATGAGTCCAGCATCCGTACCCCGAATAGAAGCTGTTCAAATCAGAGAGTAGAAGCCATAAGGTGTGTCTGGAAAATATGTACGTACCGTGCCTGGATTTCCGACGACGTCGTTCGAGCTCGTGAGAAAACGTATTCGTGAGAAAACGGAGCGTTGCCTTATCATGTTGTGTCGTGAACCGGAATTTCCCTGCTGTTTTCGGTCATTCGCCTAAAGCACCATTCGATATCATTGCCGCTCTTGTGGCCGAGTTTTTGGTCCCGCTCTTCGTTTGTGTKGTGTGGTTGTGCACGTCGCAATGGTTCGCGTTCGTGATCCAGTAACGGTTTGCTCTGCACTATCCTGCCATAACTACCCTGCCATTTCGGTACTCCTAGCATGGTGTGTCTGAGCATGGCCTTTTACACCTCCATCGGGCTATCTTTTGGCACGAATTACTGTATTCGTCCAATTTAAGATACATGCTCGTAGCCCGTACCCTGTGTTTATTCTTCCTGGATTAGAGTACGTGTACTCGTATGATTGTCTCTCTGCACTCGTCACAAACACCAGCAAAGATTTGACTCATGGGGATGTGGGTGCTCGTCCCGGTACTCGTAGTCCGTAGTACCGGGGTACCGGTACCCCTAATTCAATGATTCAATGATTGTACCTGMTGGAGTATGAATAAGAATAATAGGTATTAGGAATACAACATAATTTATAATGTCATMTGTCRCGAYCGCTGRTCAGWMGTCGACTTGGTCTAGGGGCATGATTCTTCCTTAGGGTGGAAGAGGTCCCGGGTTCGATTCCCGGAGTCGACCTTTTAKAGATTTTTTGCATATCGCGTATTTACCAACAGTAAAACCACTCTGGTAGTCTGGTATTTCATTTCCACTGGTAGGAGTTTCTTCATTTCTGCAGCATCACAACCTCCAGAAGGAAAAGACAACATCTGGGGATCCTCAAGCTTTGTTATTGTACTACTTCTCATTTTTGTAACTCACCGATTTATTGCATGGTGGTGCTGGACGAGGAGCAAATGAAGAAGTTGAAAATACTACGTCACACTAGTAGTATGTGACGTACTAGTATTCTTGAAGTTGGTTTCTTGGCTTTCTTGTTGTGTACAACTACAACAAGAAGGCTTTGGAAAGCCTGTTTTTGCTGAAAGATTTTGAAAAGACTGTAAGGATAACAACAATGGTGGTGGTGGTTTCCTTATACTAGTACTAGATACTCCTCAATGAGAAACAGGCTGAACAGCCTTCTTTTTAATCATGGATAGATATGAAGAGGAATTTTCTTTTTGTTAGACGAGCGTTCTTAGTATTCTTTTTAAGATAATGTTTGATTTTCCCACCTCTTAGATCTTGTGGCTATCTTACCAGTGATTCAACAGTTTATATGTTGTTCTGTATCGTACTCATACCACCAACAGTATAAAAAGGTTGGATCATATAATGCCTTCAATGGTCTCTACTATCATACTACTAGTATGTGATGTAGTCTCTCGTACATTTTAATGATTTGAAGATCTGTAGAGACAACATTCCTTTTGCATGTGGACAGAGATCCTCCTTCTTCTACTAATGTGTGTTGCTGTCACAGTAGTTATTGGCAATGGTGGTGCTACTAGTAGTGGTAGAGGGTCTGCTCACTATGACGAGGTCTCGTCCTGCCTGCTGTGTGACACAATAGTGCCAGCAATACTACTACTACTTCTAAATGTGTTTGTCACACCACAACCTCATGGGTATCAGTGAGTCCCATATTGTTGCACCTTATTGTTTTGTTCTGAGAACTGATCAATCTTGATCTGCTTGTTGTTTCTAGCTACTAGTAGCTACTAGTCAAAGTAACACACCATTGGTAGTTTTCCTAATGTCAGCAAGGAGGGTGTCTTTTTGTCTTCCATGTTGTGTCTTCCATGTCCTTGCTAGTATCTAATTGATGGTAGTAGTACTTGTCTTTCTCCTTCTGATTACTTAGCCAGCCATTGATCCTTAACACATATCACAATACACCACACTGCTCTTGTGCATTTCCTGTTGTAGCTTATTTGGTGTAGAACAAGGAAGACAATTCCAACAGTGACATGTCACCATGATGGGAGAAAGATAATATGTCTAGTTTGTGCTACAACAAGTTACTAGTTGCATACGCCCTAGTACATGCAAAAGTCATTATTGTACTCCAAAGAACAAATAGTTCTCATTTTATTTCCCAAACACTATAGTAGTAGCTGCCAAAGGTGGAACTGATATATCCACAACCAGAGGAGCACCCTTGAACATAACAAGAAGGATGCACGAGATTACGTGTACTCTCTTAGTAGGTGTTAAGTGTGTATGAAAATTGAATTATAAGATTAGAAT